GTCTAGGGGTGTGAGTTATGTTATTTTGTAAGTGTTGTTCTGTAAAAGTTGCAGGAGAAGAGCAAGGGCTTGGGTGTTGCATCTCAAGTCAAATTAGGGAGATAAGTATATTTGTGACTTGTAATTGTAGTTTTCTGAAACTTATTTGTATGTTGAATCTCTTTGTTTCAATACATTCTGGTAATGTTTAATCGATGCTTTCTGAGTAAATTTCCTTATTTTTCTTTGTAGTGATGTAGTAGATGTGTAGGAATGTGGATAACATGTTGAAATAGTTTTTATTCTATAAATGTGATAATTTCCTTCTGCACTTAGTTTACTTTTTAATATGGTCAATTGATCTGTTAAAATGTGTTGTGAACCCGTAAGTAGAAGAGCCACAACTAGAACTAGGAAAATCACATTGAACCATAGAGTATGAATCAAAGTACACTGTAGGAAGATACAAACAAATCCGAAGATAAACTTCATTGGGTTCTAAGTGAAACTTAAGAAATTAATGTCATAACCAAGTTTTTTTACATGCTCAGAAGAGGGTAAAGAATATATATGCTTCTATATGTCATAAAAGTACCTTATTTCGCATTGCTTTCACATCTACACTATACTATTATCACTGCAAGGAAAAGTAACATCAGCACTTGGCAAAACCAATTAACATAGCGTAGTTAGAAATTTCGTAGGTGTAACTTTAGATAATTGCAATAGATTTGCTAGCAAACTCAAATATTTCAAAATTTCAAACTAAGAATAAATTAAGTAGACTAGAACATTTTCCTACTTTGGCTTTATATTATTTCCTATGAGATCGACATTTCAGATTCTTTAGAACCCTATATTATGAAAATTAATATGTGCACTTGCGTTAGCAACCCCAATATTTAGGATAAAATCTGAATATGAAAATCTAAACGAGTAATTAGGACAATTTAAGCTTTTCAACATTATGTCGAGAGACTAAATTATTGTGTTAGTTGCTAGGGTTGTTAAGCCTTTTTGGCGTCATTGCCAGGGATCGAACCTGGGTCACCCTTGTGGCACGCGAGAATACTCGCCACTATACTACAACAAACAAAGGGAGTATGCCTTGTGAGGCGCGAGTTGCGCTCCAGACTTTCCCGAGCATAAGCCCGACCAGATTTGCACCCCCTCATGGGCTTGGGGCGAAGGGCCTTATACCTCACCCTAGAATGCACCCCAAAAATGCCTTTTCTAAACAAAGACTGTGCACAATGCCCTAGCATCGAGAAGGTAGCACTACTGTGCTCGATACATGTTCAAAGCATGAGAGCACGAGACTTCAATGCACGAAGGGGAGCATCGCAACGCCTAGATTCAAAACTCAAGCGCGACATTGCAACACTGCAAAGTTTTGTTCAGATTCAAAACCCGAAAGTGCAAAACTGGAGCGCCTTAACTCCCATTAGAGCATCACAATGCCCATTGGAGTACCACAAAGCCATATTGTGGTGCCCTAAGCTTGTAATCGATTTTCGAGAAATTCTTACTTATAGTGTGATCATTGTCGACGAGATTAAAGTTGAATTTTGAGTTTTCTCTTGTGCAAAGAAGATGAGTGTCCTAAATTTTGAGTTCTCTTCTGTAATTTCCTCATTTCTCACCCAACAAGATGTTCTAAGATATTACTTATTATTTTTATTTTCAATCCTCAAAATATAGTATTTATTGGTTATATGTGTGACTCCCTCGAATGAGGTATGAGCATAACTACTTAATTGTAGATGAAGTTAACTTTGTGAACTAATGTGGTCTTAGGCCCCGTTTGATGGGGCTTTACGTTTCAGGAAAGTTTATTTAAAAGCTCTGTCAAAAGAAAATTCATTTTAAAGTGAGCACTGGTTCACGTTCCGGAATGAAGGAGAATCTCCATTGCGGTAGAAAAAACACATGGTGAAAAACCCTTCCAAACAAAGCTTTAGATTTCTTAATCTGATAAATTATTTTACAAATATTTACATGCATATCACTTAATTCGTATGTATTTATATATTTAACACTAAACTTATATGCCACCATCCCTACGCATGAAAAAGATGTGTTTCACTTTTTAAAAGTTAAAATAATGATATTTCTTATGTGGCATGAAAAGATGCATTTCACTTCTTAAAATTCTGAGGAACCGACGCCAAACACTTGGCAACCCCAGATAAGAGAAATTCAAACTTTTCAAATAGATAGACTTCTTGCTGAGTAGCCCCCATTAAGGGAGATCTAACATGTCAGATATGAGACTCTTTTGTGTAGAATATTTGATGGATTCAATTGAGTGTTAAAATCTGTTCAGCAGTGTATCCCTTGACAGATAATCAGGCAGGATGGATTGACCATAACTTTGGAAGTTATTGTAGGGGCTCAGCGGGGAAGAAAAATATTCAATGGGATCCAGGTTCTACCAAAGAAGAAAATGATGTCTATCCTGAGTAGTTGTTGGTGAGAGTTGCTAAGCTTTTCATAGAGTTCGTCCTAGAGTTGAATCATCCTTACTTACTTGTTTACCAGGAACATTAGTCAAGTAAGGCCACTTACGAATTTAATGGCTCGAGAATTACTTTGGGAGAATCTACGATTATAAGCAGCTACAATTTAGGTTGTGCCAAAAAAATATATTAATATTATTCTATCAAGATGTGCATTAGAATAACAACACCCGCATGAGTGACTTAACAGGAAGTTATAATAGCTCCACCTCCCTATGCATGAAAATATGTATTTCACTTTTTAAAAGTTAAAATGATGATATTTCTTTGATCAAAAGATTATTTAACTTTTTAAAAGTTTGAGGAATCGACACCAAACACCTGACAAACCCTGATAAGAGAAATTCAAACTTTTCAGATTAATGGACTCCTTGTCGAGTTGCCCTTGTTAAGGGAGATCCAACATGTCAAAGATGAGACTCTTTTGTGCCACTTTTAGAGGATTAGATGGATTCAATTGAATGCTAAAATCTATTTAGCGATGTATCCCCCGACAGATTATCAAACATGATGGATTGACCATAACTTTGTAAGTTATCGTAGGGGCTCAGTGGGGAAGAAAAGTCTTCAATGGGATTTGGGCTGCACCAAAGAAAAAAGAATGTCTATCCTGAGTGGTTGCTAGTGAGAGTTGCTCAACTTGTAATAGAGTTCGTTCTAGAGTTGAATCATCCTTACATACTTGTTTACCAGATATATCTAGTCTAAGTACGATGAGTGGAAGAGGCCACTTACGAATCTAATAGCTCAAGAATTACTTTGGGAGAATCTATGATTATATGCAGCTACAGTTCGAATTGTGCCAAAAAAACATATTAATATTATTCTATCAAAATGTGCTTTTGAATAACAAAGCCTGCAAGTGTGACTTTTTAGGAAGTTACAGTAGTTCTACCACCTTCAATATGACCAACTTGACACTATGGTACGAGGAGTTAGAAGATTTGACAAATGAGATGAAGCAAGAGTTGCGGCTTGGATAGATGAGGTGAAGCTTCCCCAACCCAGAGAGTGACACCGGATCGGAATCTTCCAACACATTTGTAAGAGCAGGCCCCTGCTACAATACTGTGAATTGTAGTGAGAGTTGCGGGTTGGACCAATTCAGGAGGGCTGATCAACAATTCATTCACATGAATTTTCCTCCTATTAGGAGTGGCGTCCACTAATATTTAATGTAAGTCTCTAAATATGTTATTTTTGTGTTTTAGGAGAGTTTTTTTATTCAATTTCCTGTCACGACAGTCGTAGGCAGGTCCAAATTTACCCTTCAAGGGTTGTTTCCAATGGTGAGAATGTACTTTATCTATAACTTGTCTCGAGGTAGTGTTTATCTACCCTACGATTCTCTGTTTCCCCAGCAGGTTTTTGGGACTCCACCATAATACTACAAATTGTAGAGGAGTTGAGGCTTGGACCAAACCAGGAGGGTAGATCAACCCTTCCTTCACACAAATTTCCCTCCTATTAGGAGTGACGTCCACTCCTATTTCCCTAAGTCTATATATATGTTATTTTTGTGTTTTAGAGAAGTTTTTTATTCAAATTTCTATCTGGGCAGTCGCCGAAACGTCCTGATTTTTCCTTCAAGGGTTGTATTTGATGGCAAGAAGATGCTTTGTTTATAACTCGTCTTGAGGTAGTGTTATCTATCCTATGTCCCAACCGAAGCCCTAATACCATTAATCTATTCTACCACCTACTGCCACAACCCAGCCCACATCTCACTATCAGTCCCACCACAACCCCTCAACTACACTAGCAGTATAGCCCCACTGACCTTGAGCCTGCTGCTCCATCGCAACCTCCCACCATCCTTCCAGCCGCCAACCCACCACCAACTCCTTCGGAATCAACCCTCTTCGTGTTAGTGTTGTGTTTGTTTTTGTATTTCTTTTTCAAGCGTGGAAGATTGTAACCGTCTATTTGTTTTGAGTAATAATATTATTGTTTCATTGTTGTTTGGGTTAACTCTGGTATCACTCATGCAACCATTTCATTTCATTTATATATTAAAAAATAACAAAAAAAAAATACCAGAATGTACTCTCTTTAAATTTAGATCAAGATATCCCCCCCTCAAAAAATATAAAATTGAACTATTGAAATAACTGCATGGTGTTGACCTATGATGTCCAGAGCCAACAGCACTGTTGTTTCAGCAAAATCCAACCGAGCATTAGAAAAGAGCCAGTTTAGCAAATTATAGTAGAAAGCAAAACCTAAGGAATTTTATCAATATCAGAAGCATTAATAATTTTCTATCATCAAAATTTCCGACCAGAAATGATTTAAAAAAAACAAAATGTTATTTTTGCTATGATGTAGTAAGGCCAGCGGTTATTACTAGTAAGGAATCCTTGTGCTTAACTTATTTCCATGTTTGCAGCTTTGTGACTACTAATGGTGGAGGCAGAATATTTAGTTTTCTCTCTTTAAATATGCTTTCATTTTACTTCATGAAAAACATAAAACTATAAAGGCTGGGATAAAAAAAAATACCTGGCTTTGGATCTTCCCACATGCTGTAACAAAGTGTTTGGGGCAGGCAAGATATCCCAGCCTCCAACCAGTCATTGCAAATGCCTAAAATTAATCATCCACACTTGAGAAAGTTGACCTACAATTCATCTATAGGCTAAGGATAATCTCTCGCATCTAATTCATATATATAATTCCAGCATGCATCATGCCTTCTAAACCAAAAAGTTTAAGGCTTATTTGGGATCAATTTTATTTTTTATTTTTATTCTTGTTTGTTTATGCTTCGACTAAAAAAAAAAAACGTGTTTTCCTATTTGATTAAGGTATGGTTATTTATAAAAAGATGTGATATCTCTAAAATTTTTTTGAGTATTTTAAAAATATATAATAACTTATTTTTAAAAACAAAAAATAATAATACGTAAAAACACACTAAATAAATATGTTTTTAAAAATAAAAGAAAAAAAATTAAATAAAAAATAAAATTGATCCCGAACAAGCCTTTAGTTAAACAGAAAAAATGCTTAGGATAGAAAAACTCTTGGTGTAAGTTAAAAGAAACTGCAAGCATATCATCAGATAAAAATAAGTAGAAAAAACCTTTAATTGGCCATCAAACAGTAAAGTTCCAAGTTCTTTTCTATTAATAAGATGTGAAACCAAACAGTCGACTTTGTGCAAGATCATTATAGTTTGTTCTTAACCATTATAATCATAATCATTAGCCATATCAAACATAGGTCGTTCTAAAAAAAAAAAACAAATAGAAAGATTTACATATATATGACCCAACTCCTATGTATTTGTATATCTAACACCCAAACTTCAATTTTTACATATATACTGCCTTCCCAATCCATGAAAAGGTGTATTCCAGTTTTCAGAAAGTAAAATGGTGATCTTTTTTTATGTGATATGAAAGATTAGGGTGGTGTAAATGTACAAGGAAAAGTTTAGGTGTTAGATATATAAGTAAATTGGGTAGTATGTATGTAAAGGCCCCAAACAAATAAAATACTCAATGCCTTCACGTAAATGCGTACCTTTGAAAATCCATTGACGGTCAAGGTTCTCTCCCACATGTCAGGCAATGAAGCAAAACTTGTGTGCTTTGCTGGAGGGTAAATGATATGCTCATATATCTCATCAGACAAAACCTGTATCACAATACAACGGGTTAAGCAGTTTCCAGTGAAACTATAATTTAAAACATTAAATATATATGAAGCAATACGATTAGAACATTCCAGAAAGCTTACCAGAAGCCTAGGATGTTTTCTAACAATATCAGCTATCTCCTCAAGCAGCTCTTTGTGATAAACTGATCCCGTTGGATTAGATGGCGAGCAAAGAATGAGCAGCCTTGATTTCTCATTAAGTTTAGAGGCAAGATCCTTTGGTTTTACAAGAAAATTGTCTGATATGTCTGTAGGAATAATAACTGGAGTTGCATCAGCTAGCCTAGCCATCTCAGGGTAGCTAACCCAGAATGGTGCTGGAATTATAACCTAGACGAATAATGAATAATTAGAGCTGTGAGATATAAGGATTCAAGTATCAAATAAAATTTCAATGATCTCAAAAATTTAATACAAATATCCATATATATAACATTCCAATAATATATGTGAGGTTTATTAGGGAACAATCTCTTCACAGGGTAATCTAGAATACGCAAGCTTGAACCCCAAGATCTGAATTCCGAGGAACTTTTCTCCTGCACTACAGATCTCTTTCTAGTGTTTATGCTGGAATTCAAGCCAACCGGGCCTGGCCCTTATGTCCATGATTGGAGGATCGAGTTTGCCCTAAGAGCCAACAATTATCTCTAGTTGAAATATTTAATTGGCAGTTTATACTAAGGAATCGTCGCCCATCATTTCTCTTTCCTACCAAGAGGAGTGTTTCTTTATAAACTATGTAATTATGCATCATCTTGAAGCATTTTGTTGTGAACGCAACATAAATAATCTAAATCTTGACTGAACAGTCAGTTAGTTGGGATATTAGTTAGTTCTTGTATTTTATAAATATCTCCATTTAGGCTGAAGATATGAAATAAATGAATCAAATAGCATTTCTTGTACTGGTTCTTCTTTTTTTTCTTAATTTCGGAAGTTTGGGCAGCTTGAAAAAACTAGAATAGGATCTTGGATCCTATCAATGGTGCTTTCATTGCAACATTCAGCAGATCTTCTTCTTGAGATTTAGCCACCATCTGAGTGCCAGATCCCATTCCATCTTCGATTGCTATATACCCACATCCTCTTCCAGATCAAAGTGTGTTGAAGCCAACTAGGCTAAAACGAGGTTATTGGCATGCATCAAAACTAGCATGTATGTTAGGATCAACAGAGTTGATGTGTGATGACTCACATGCATCGGATCTAGTGTGTATACAAGAATCTACTGAGCCAACTAAAGCGTGTGTATGTGGATGCTGAGCTTGGGAGTGCAGCAAAAGCAGAGGTCAACATTCCTCTTTCATTACTATATTATTTTATTTTTATATGTTCAGATATATATAAAACATTTGGAATGGATGTCAGTGAAATTATAAATGGCAATAATCAAATAAATATGGGAAATGAAATTTCATCTCCTCAAGTTTTCTGTGAAGTTTAAAATTCATTCAGACAACTTACAAAAAAAATACAAGTCATAAATATATAACAAGTTAATCATTCAAATATTAACCACGATGTTGCAACATCATCAAACAACAGATCATTGAATTTAGCACAATAGATAACCTGATAAAATGCCTAAGCAGCGGCATCAAGCTCATGTTCAATTTCATATCATTCCAAAGAACATCAAGATAAGAATATAACTCAATCAATTAAACATATTATCTCTGTTTCCAAAGCTAAGGAGCGAAAATTCCGCAGAATGAAAGAAATTCCCACCTCAATAATTCAAATAATCCATATAAATCTCACCTCATCCCCTGGCGAACAAACACCCAACACAGCTTGCATGATACACTGCTTAGCTCCATTGCTGACCAATATCTCATCCGGCTTATAACTCAACCCATTCTCCTCTGCCATCACAGAATCGTCAACATTCAAACCCCTCACACACACCCACCAAACACCAATCTAAATCAACTAAAATCAAATAAAAAGCCAATCACACCTTCCAGCTTACGACAAATAGCTTTCCGGAGCTCCAGAGTCCCAGCATTTGGAGTATACCTCGTGTAGCCCTCACGAATCGCATTGATACCAGCCTGAAACCAATCTCAAATCAGCCAAAAATTCTAAGATCATTAACCACAACTGATGTGAGATGTGAGATAATAGATCTACCTCAGATATGACCGCAGGGGTGTCAAAATCGGGCTCACCGGCGGCGAGACGGATGACGGGAACTCCAGACTGTACAAGTGCAGTGGCCTGATCGGTGATGGCCATAGTCTTGGATGGCTTAACAGCGTTTACACGGGGACTCACTGATAGATCAAGAGAAGCCATGTGATCTGCGGATGACTCCGAGCTTGCAACAGCCCTGAGGGAACCGGAGAGTCGCCTGGGTTTGAAACAGCCAACAGTTCTTGGAGCATCGAGCAAGGAAGAGGAGGAGGATGAGCGGAGAAAGATCAAGGAGCGCAGGGATGATTGAGTTGAAGAGGTGGTGAGAGCAGCGTCCATTACTAGTATTCGAATCAGATGGGTAAAGAAAGGGAATCAAAGAAGTGGGGTAACCGTTAGGTATTTATAGGAGATTGCGGTGATGCTCGTGGGATCTACCTACTCATTTCCGACGACACCACCGCTCTACCTGCTCTCACCAACCAATTTTTAGGCCGAGTATTACTCACACTTTCCCCCGTTTATTTAATTTTTGTAAAATATATCTAATACCTAAAATTTATTTTAATAATCACTTCAAAATCTATCGAGAATTATATAATTTGAATGTTATATATATAAATAAAAACATGTCAAAATAGTATTTTAGCTATTTACATTGGCCTATTTTAGGCTCACTATCTAATTGTTTCTCTGAGTTTTTTTCAGTTGATTTTCTTATGAATAATCTTGAAAACTAAGCTTTAAATTCTTATCGAAGATGAAAACTCGATCTTAATGTGAAGTTTTTTTAAGTGATTTCAGTCGCTTAAGATGTAATTAATCATAAACTTGTGTCTATAGAAGAACTAGTAACCCAGATAAACTAAACTCTACTCAGTCCTTTTAGCTAGATAGGAGAACGATCTATTGAAAATTTCATAAACCAAATAAATATCCTAATTTTTTTTGTTCTCATATCCTAAGATTAAGTATTGCTTGTAACAAGTTCAAATATGCTTAAACTCAACAAAAAAAAAAATTGTTCGTGTTTAATTCATCTTAACGGCCGCACACAAACTAATCATAAACAACAAATCATTTTGACATGCATATTGATATCTTTCACATCATACTAAAATTTTACTATTTTAACTCTTAAACTCGACACGGCAACCCGACGGGCATATCCGATTTGACACTCTCATGGGTTAGACTATCAACATATTCAAGCCTCCTGCTTCCCAGCCCCATGCTCAAAAGAGTATTCTTCGAAACAGCACCCTCATGTCCATCCCCCTCTCCTATCCCCTAATCCATCTCCACAAGCCCTTCACCCAACCAAGAACCCACCTGCTCCCAAAATCTGGTTTCTCTACCTCCCCCAGTAAGCGCGCCGGCCTCAAATCCCTCGCCACCGGCCAGCACGATGCGTCGCCGGAAACGCCGCGATGGGAAATGTTTTCCCCCCGCCGCCAGCCTGTATCCACTTTACGTGACGGCCGGCGGAGCCATTGCGTGCTTCAGACCTTCGGCTTTCTCTTGGTTCGTGAACGGGGCGCCGCTTTCCTATAGCTGTTCTCTAGGGTTCATAATGCTCGTCATGGGAGTGACGCTGGAGCTCAACGACTTGCTCGGAGTTCTGAGGCAGAAGCCTTTCTCAGTGAGTTCCCTGATCAATGATACTGATTTTTTTCTCGGAATTTTTGAGGTGTTTTACATATATTTTGTAATTGTCTATCTGAATGTATAGGTTGGTATGTATATAAATTTTTCTTTGGGGCATTTACATATATAACACCCAATTCCTATGTATTTGCATATATAACTCAAAAACTTTACTTTTTTTTTACTTCAAACCGCCCAAATCTTTTATATCACATCAAAATTAGCACTATTCTAACATTGAAAATAATAAGTAAGCTAGCATGTATGTAAAAATTAAGTTTAGATGCCACAGATATACCACTCAATTCTTATGTATTTACATGTCCAACACCTAAACTTCAACTTTTACATATATGCCCATCTTCCTTATGCATGAAAATGTGTATTTCACTCTTTAAACCTTAAAATGGTGATATTTTTGACGTGATATGAAGGATGTGGATGTTATAAATATAAAAATTAAAGTTTGTGTCATATATATAAAACGCATGAGAATTGGTTGGTATGCATGTAAATGCCCCTTAACAACTCTAGGATGGTATAGAAGTAAATATTGAATTTTACATAAGGCATGCAAATCCCCCCCCTTTTTTTGTGAGTAGGTATTGTTTGGATGCCTTGCCCAGTACACAATTATGCCAGCATTTGGAGCCATTGTTAGCAGAGCACTATGTCTTCCTGCTTCTCTTTCGGTTGGTCTGATTTTACTGGCTTGTTGCCCTGGTGGAACTGCTTCTAATGTGGTACTTTATTCTATCTCTATTTATTATCATTATTCCTTTCTTATTATTGAATTCTATGTAATCTGTTTCTTTGCAATTTTGTCTACTACTTCTAGTTATGTTACCATAGGCCTAACAAATTTTTTTTGGGGCATTTACAAATGTACCACACAAACATTCATATTAACACGCTCAAATCATAAACATCACATCAAAAATGCCGCAATTACTTTCTTTATATTTTTAAATTAATTTTATGCATAGCATCTTTTATCATCTATCGTACATGCAAATACTATGGTTGTTAGTACAATCATTTCTCATTGAATCCTTCCTAGTTCTATCAAAAATCCATATTAATATTTCCATTTACTTCACTCTGGGTTTAGTTATCAAAAAATTCTTTAATGCTTAAAATTTATAGTAATTTAATAAAGTTGTTTTAATTATTATTTTATAAAATTTACCTTTGAATTTGTCTGATTTTCTTATAATTTAAACCACCATGGATTCAAGATGCAACAACAACAATGAGCCTTTATCCCACTAAGCGGGCCAGCTAAATGAATCCTTTTTCTCCCTTACGTCCTATTGAGTGCATATTTTCACTCAAGTCTAATAAATTATGATCATTTATATGCAATATGCCTAAGTCTTTTTATGTCTACCTCTGTCTTTCTTAACATAAGTCGAATCTAAAACATCTGCTATTCTAACCGGATCATCAGACGGTCGACGTTTAATGTGACCAAACCATTTAAGAAAACTCTCTCTAATCTTGTCCGCCACTGGAGCTCCACCAACCCTTTCAAGAATACGTTCATTTTGCATTTTGTCTCTAAGTGTCATGCCACCCAGGCACTCATCCACCCAAGCATTCTCATCTCAACAACACTTAATTTAGTTTCATTTGTAGAAAATAAAATAATTATAAGAATTTTAAATAATACCAAAGTATCAAATATATAAATCAACTTCCCACATAGTTTTATAAGATTTATGTAATTTTCATATTTATTTATGTATTCATTTCAAATAGCATTGCAGGTAACATTGATTGCCAGAGGAGATGTGCCATTATCTATAGTGATGACTGTCTGCACAACTTTGGCTGCAGTCCTCCTCACTCCTTTTCTAACCAAAATTCTGGCAGGCACTTATGTTCCTGTAGATGCTGCAAAGCTATCTCTTAGTACCCTACAGGTGTTGAACCTTATATTTACATACATGCCATACAAATCTTGTGTATTTACATATCTAACACCTAAACATTTCATAAATTCTTTAATTTATTTTCAGGTGGTGGTAATTCCAACTTTGATAGGTTCCTATATGCAGAGCAGATTTCCATCTTCTGTAAAGCTTATCACACCCTTTGCTCCACTTCTTGCAGTTTTAGCTTCTTCACTTCTTGCAAGCAGGTGTGGCTTAGAGAAAGATAAAAGTATCAAATTGGTCCCCTGACTTTTTGAAATGTGTCATTTTAGTCCCAAAGTTTATAAAAATGTCAATTTAATCTCCAATGAAGCCTCTTCTATGGGCTAATTTGACATTTTTATAAACTTTAGGACTAAAATGATTCCATCTAAACGGTGAAGGACTAAATTGGCGCTTTACTCGTTACAGAAATAAAACTTTTGTGATTTTATTAGTATCCTTCTTCCATTCTTCAAAACTTTGTGCACTAACTTTTATGCTTTACAAATTACAGTGTGTTTTCGGAAAACGTCGTTCGGCTTAAATCGTCGATCATTGATATTTCTCGGTCGTTTGACCAAGGTTTTCTTTATGGACTTCATGGCATACTCTCTGGAGAGCTCGGCCTCGTTATACTCTCCATCTTATTGCTGCATTTTGTGGGCTTCTTTGTAGGGTATAGTTTTTTCTTGTATATAAGTTTGCTTAGGGGCCGTTTGGGATCACTTTTGATTTTACTTTCTTTTTATGTTTCTGTTTGTTATAACATGTTTGCTCCTCTTAATATGCTTTTTAGATGTTTTGAATATTAAAAAAAGAAACTTAATTTTTTCTTAAAAAAAAACTAAAAATGTTTGCTAAGCAAATATTTTTTTCTTAATATGAGTAAAAATAAAAGTGAACTCAAACAAAGCTTTAGTTGTGTCACCAGTTAGTAATTCTAATGCATGCATTCATTCAACAGCTATTTGGCAGCAGCTGTTGGCGGTTTCAGAGAAAAGCAGCGGCGGGCCATCTCCATTGAGGTATTTGTTATTAAGCCAATAGAATTAACTATAAGATAGTGAAACTCATAAATGACTGCACAAGAAGCTACATCTGCATATATATATATTTTTTCTATATTTATTTGAATGCATATTTCATAGAAATTGAATGCTGCATTTTTGCTCTTAACAAAATTTTTAAGTCGATCATAGCTTTTATTTGAGAGAGATGCTTGAAAAGTGCGGTATCGATGTGACTAACACCGTTCATGTTTTGATACTGGTTTGATAAATATTCGTTGTTGTGCACTCACCACTCAGTCACGTTTGGGTTTAACCTAAATTTGACTTGCCCTACCCATTTATTAAACGGGTCAAAATGTCTAATCTGAAGTCGACTTGCTTTGAATTTAACTCGAAGCCGACCATGTAACCTAGATACCATAATGCATAATGTATAGCTAAAAAATCTTTGATCAAGTTCAAGGATGGGCCAATGTGAGGCACGTGACCTGATTGAAATATTCTATGTTTGTTCAAAAGAAGCATGAAGCAACAGCCAATTTCCATCAACTCGGCAGGGCAATTTGAAGACTCGTTCAGTCAATTTCAAGCGGCTTAGATAGTGCGACGAATATTAATTCAATCGGCCTATATAATTAAATCAATTTGGCGAGCTAGCTTGACAAGAAACTTAATCAATTCACCACATAGTAGGGTAGCGCTATACTATATAAAGCTCTACACACCTTACTATATGATTGTTTTTTATTTTGATGTATTTTCTCTTTTTCATATAGCAAGTTATGTAACTATCTTTGGGGTCGACCCAAATTTATAAATAGGAGAGAGGCCAATGAAAATTATAAGAGTCTTTTTTCTTCATCTTAAGGAATTGTTCTGGATGTTCTTTGTTTCATCTCCATGCCTAAGGGAGATTTTCTCTCTCGCTCTTCTCACAATATTTGTTTCATTACTCTTCTCCTTTGGCAAGTAATTTCTTAGGTGATTTAAGAGTATTGACAATTCATGATCCAACACATAACAATCATTATGATCGATTTTAGGTTAGTTTTTCAATTTAGGTTTGACGGTCATTTTATCACGACCCAGCCCGAGGCTTGGAATTAACCAAGGCAGGAACGAACGGTCAGATGGGCGAATTAAATTTTCTGTATTAACTCACAATTTAACCACTAAAAATTAAATTAAAATGGTATGATTTATAATTACTTCGTTGATGGTTGTCCGCGTCTTCTATAAACGTTTTCTCGTATACCGCTCATCTTTTAATAATTTAATTAAATCTGAAAAGATATTTAAAATAACTGTGAGCTAAAGAGTAGTGAATACTCATTCTTCTAAACTACAACATTATAAGGAAAAGAAAGAATAATATGCATGTCAGTTAATCTTCTTTATAAATCAATAGTATAGAATTGGAGATTTCTTGGGTGACTGACTAAAAATCCTCAATTCAAACTTAGTGTTTAAAAACTAAAGCGAGAGTTAGCCTGTAGGAGAAGGGAGGTGGACTCTGGAGTGGGAGTCAGTATACTCTTAGCTTAGCCACAGATTTAGGGACTAAACCTAAGATTAACCAATGATTTTCTATAATACTGAATCAGGGTAGAGAATTAAAATTGCTCCTATTTGGCACAATACATATCTAAACTATTTATCTCATCTCATTTCACCAAAAACTCATTGTAGTGGGAAAGATATTTTTTCATATTAGAAAACTTCATTACATAAACATAGTTTAGTTGTTATTAATTTTAAACCCTGCTTTTAAATTTATCCAGTAGTGAATATATTAGCTTTGATAGTATCTTAAACATTCAAAATTAGTGATAGTAATTTTGATTGTTTTTGTAAATTTTCTAGTTAATTCATCATTTCAATTTTAAACCTTCCTCGTGGGATCGATATTTGGGACTTAAAAGAAAGTCTTATATTACTTGATAATGATATATATACTTGCGTAGAATCCCAGCTTTAAGTGCTTAACGTTATTATTGATAAAATACCACATCAAGTTTTTTGGCGTCATTGCCGGGGAAGGTAACGGTAAATTAAATAGATTTAAATTTAGAGATAAAAATATACAAAATACAAAATATCAAAAAATTATAAAATAAAAAATCCAAAAATATATATATCTATATATTTAAGAGTATTTTCAAGAAATTTTTTCTTGCTTAGTATATTTATTGATGCCAAATATTGAATCTGAAGGTTTAGTACCTTATGATTCAGAATTAAAACGCACTATTAGAAAAATTCAAAAATAACAAAAAAAAAATTGAACAAAATATACAAACAATCAACATAACATATATATTCATTACATTTAGTTCCACATACTATAAAACATACGCCAAATACATGAGCAAGTAGTTACGACATTCATAATAATATGATCAATAAAGAAAAAATATTATCAAAATTAGAATAAAACACATAAATATTATCAACTGCATACACATTTGAGAATTAAACAAATTAATAGTATAGTTTAAAAGTACACGTACTTACCTCAATTGCCTATTAATTTGCTTGAAGTCGACTCTTTTGATAATGAAATGCCTAAAATAAGCACGATAGTCATTTATTATGTTATTACAAATTAAATAAATTATCTCATTTTTATTTTATCTAATTAATAATATAAGACGATCAACGCTTCGTACTATGCTTGGTTGTTTGTAACGTCAAACTCTACCTAGATTGACTGGTAGAAATGTTCTCCAGTCAGGTTGCTTAGAACCAACCCTAGCCCTGTTGGCACCTTCTTGGATGTCCCATTGACATACAGAGTCCATGTCATGTCTTTAGTGACAATGCCTTCATCTTGCTCTTCTGTTACGGAAAAATCAGTCAGGAGGCTTGCAATCGCTCGAGATTTGACTGTCATTCGAGGAACGTAGGTGATGTTGAATTCGCTGAGCTGTACTGCCCATTTTAGCAGTCGATCGTAGTGCTTGCTCTAGCTATGTGGGCACAGACTTCAACGGATGGTTTGTGATGAGTCGGATTATATGCATTTGGAAATACGGTTGAAGCCTGCTAGCTGAAATAATCAACGCTAAGGTTAGTTTTTCCATAATTGGGCACCTGGTTTCAATGACATGAAGCACTCGACTCGTGTAGTAGACTAAGTACTACTTTCCTGACTCCTCTCGGACTAGCACTGAGCTCACAACCTCTCGTCCGACTCCCTGGTACGGTGATAGTTCTTTCGTTGGTTTTGGGCTCTGAAGCAGTAGTGATGACGCTAAGGAGTCTTTCAAGTTTCTGAGCGCTTTCTTACATTTGGTCGTCCATTCAAAATGTTGATTTTTCCTTAGCTCTTTAAAGAATGCAACGTACTTGTCGCCCGAAATCGGGAAGAAACAACTAAGCCCGGTGATCCGATCGGTTTGTCTATGAATTTCCTTAGTGCTCCGTGGAGGCCTCATGTCTAGGATTGCTTGCACTTTCTCTGAATTGGCTTTCAATCCTTCAGGAGTTAACAATAAGCCGATGAACTTCTCGGTTGAATTTTTGGGAGGGGTTCAATCTCATATTAAATTTTTTGAGTGTTCTGAATGTCTCTTTTAGATCTTCAATGTGTTTTTTGGATGAATTACTCTTAACTAGAATATCGTCAACTTACACCTCAATATTTTTTCCTTTTTGATTAGCAAAAATTACATCCATGAGACGTTGATAAGTCACCCCAACATTCTTAAGCCTGAAAGACATTACATTAAAATAAAATGTCTTATGCAATGATACATACATTTTTTTTCACATATGTTGGTGCATTTTTATTTGGTAGCAATCCAAGTAAGCATCGAGGAAGCTCATAATCGAGTATCTGACTACTACGTCCATCAAGGTGTCAATATTCGACAGAGGTGTAGGTGTCCTTTGGCCAAGCAGCGTTGTATCAGTTTGTTCTTGAATCCTGTATCAAAATATTCACTAATTAGAAAAACCTTACAGGGTTCTTCGTCGGATACATGTAACTGGAGGATGGTCTCGCTGGTTTCGAGGTTTCCTTCCCTCTGGATCTGGATGTCGAGTTGTTCATGGTTTACGTTCGAAACCACTCACAAATAACAACTTTTGAATTGTTCCGAGTTTCCCCATATCGCGATTATCTCATCGTCTGGGGACTTTACAGCCACATGGTAGGTGGAGGTCATCGCCCGATAGCTGTTAAGGATTGGGCGATCGAAGATGGCATTGTAGGTCGGCGGGGATTCCACCACGAGTAACTCCTCTATGCTGTTGTATTTCTTCTTAGGTTCTCATCAAGAGATGGCTAAGGTGATGAGGTCCAGTGCCTCCTTCCTTTCCCCAAAAAATCCATGCAATGGGTCGGTTAATGCTGTCAACCAATCGGTTTTGAGGTCGATCTTATCAAACACTATTTTGAACGGGATGTTGACTGAACTCCCTGTATCAACAAGAATGCTACCCATCTAGTAGTTGTTGATTAATGTTGTTACGACGATCACTTTCTTGTAGGGGTTCACGTTCAGTGGGAGATCCACATCTGTAAAGACAAGTAGCAAATGGTTATGTGTATATGGGGCGACGGAGTATACCTCTCCCGAATGTTGTCTCTTCCCAATGGAGTGTCGGGGTCCTCCAAAAATGGGCAGGATTATCCCTACTACGTGGACCTTGTTGGACCAGATAAGTTCGTTTGAGGGTTCTCCTGCCATAAACTCACTCTGTCGTTGCGTATATGTGTCAACTGCAACAAACTCTTTGAGCTTCCTGACGCGGATGAGCTCCTCAATCAAGTTCTAGAGGTGACGACATTCCTCTGTTTTGTGACCATGGTCGCGATGGTACTGGCAGCACCTCTTCGGATATCGTAAGGTTGGGGTCGCCTTCAGTGGCGAGGTAGGTTTGAAATACTCTTTGTTCTGGATGGCCTAAACTATTTCTGCCATTGACAAGTTGAGGGGTGTCAAACCCTGTATTTCTCTGTGGGCGTGCGACCTCTCATAATACTGGGTCTGCCATTGGTCAGAGTGTTGTTTCCGGTCATGATTCCCTCGGTCATTTCTTTGTTGATCTCAGAACCAAGAGTTATTGTTTTGATGACCGATAGAGGACTAATTGTTCCTTGTCTTCAGTGGTTCCCCCCACTCTTTTCGTTTCTTTGAGGGATGATTGGATGATTCCAATTTATCCTTCGAAGAGTCCCGGATATCTCTTTGGCGAGTATGTGCTTGTTCGCCATATCCAGTACTTCTGCAAAAGTAGTGAGTTTAAATAGGTTTAGGTCACCCGCTTGCTTTGGACTCGTCATTTCAAGGCTGTTCCAGCTATATCAGGCTTCAGATCTTTAACCTCAAGCATCTCGTTTTAGAAATGGGTGATGTAGGCTTGCAGGCTCTCATTTTTTCGTTTGGATGCTTTAAGGTCAAGCAGGGTGTTTGAGTCTTTCCTCGACTTCTGCATGTTGAGAAGTGTGAAATGAAGAGTCTTTTAAATTCGTAGTAAGTTGAGATGGTTTTCGTCGGCAGACCGTTAAACCACCAAAGTGTTGATTCCTTCAAGGTGATTAAGAAGAGACGACACATTATAATTTTGTGGATCTAGAGCACACCGATGGATGATTCGAACGATGCGACGTGATCGATCGGGTCGGTTCTCCCTTTGTAAAAATCCAGGCGAGGAATCCTTAGTTTCGGTGGAGGCATCGCGTCTTTGATTTGGCGAGTAAATGTGTCTCCTATGAGCGGTCGGATAGCTCTTCCCATCGTCTATTCGCTTGTGCAGATGTTCCGACGTCAGTGTGTTGGGACTCACCTTGTCCCTCTGTCTGTTGGTCGCTGACTTAGTTGTCTAGAGTAGGCGAGTTCGCCGGTGGGGGCCTTTGAGGGCGGACCCTCTGAGATTCTACCTCCAAACATGGCGGTTGGTTGTTCCTCTGGGTGATTGCAGCTCGAAGGATCTCGAATTGCTCCATCATGTGGGTCATTTGGGCTTGTAAACCCTGGACTTGCGCATGGATGTCTGGTTATGTAGTATATATATTAGGTTCTATGTGTGCTATTTCTCTTTGGGAAGCTTCTCCTTCGTAGTCTTTCTCACTTCTCATCTGTGACATATTCATGCTCACCGCATCACATTTTAGGATGTTAAATCATAATATTTCCTTGTGAATACGCCTCGAGAGTTAGAATCGGGTGAAGAAAGAAAGAGATTAGAATCTCTTGTCGAGAGAGCTGGGAAAAGAGATAGCTTTATTCGTATTTTTTCCTCATATTTAGGAGAGTATTTTATACAATTACGGAAAAGAGAGAATAGTTATGGAAACCACCCTTAATATAATGGATATTCTTATTAATCGTATGAATTTTATACCATAAATGTATTTATAATTTGAATTTTAACATGACGATAATTGACTGACCGGCTTGTTTGAATTCGGCCAACTGAGGCGATCTGTTGGGTGGAGATTATGCTCTCTGAAATACGTGTTGGTCGGTCGACGCACCCGGTCAAATGTCGATCTCGTTCGTTGCGATAAAGGTGGGTTGATTGATTAGCCGCGATCAAGGATTCTTTCCTACCTCTCGGTTGGCTGGGTCTATTGCTCGTGTCTCTCGCCATGGCGTGTCGGTCGATTCTCAACCACGCGTTTGACAGTTGGGCGGTAGGGTAGGACGCCTTGGTTGTCTGACCGTCATCTAGGTCGCGTGTCGGTCGATTCTCAACCACGCGTTTGACAGTAGGGCGGTAGGGTAGGAGGCCTTGGTTGTTTTTATTTTGATTTGTTTAGATACTTTGAGATTTGTGTTGATAGTTATGATGTATACAGAATTCAAATCAAAACATAAACAAATCAAAATAAAAACAATTATATCTTCTTAATTGATTTAAAAAATCTAAATTGCCGATGCATTTGCTGCAGGTTGGAATGCAGAATTCTTCATTGGGTGTTGTTCTAGCAACCTCACACTTCTCCTCGCCTATGGTAGCTTTACCCGCTGCACTTTCAGCTGTGATCATGAACATAATGGGGAGCACTTTAGGGTTGATATGGAGATATATTGAGCCTCAGAATGGCAAGGAAGCCTCCACACAAACCAAAGCAGATTGACTGCTTTCTCTGAGGCACTGTTCGGGATCCCTTTTTGTTTTTTTTTTTTAATTCAAAAAACAGAATATTTGTTTGTATGTTTTTTCATTTAATTTTTAAACAAAATCATCAGGAAAAATCTGATTTTTATTATTCAAAGTAGCTCCCCACCTATCCCATTTCTGATCCTATCATCGTGCCTTCTTGAAAGTCGACATAGGCGCCGATGACATCTTCGCCGGCAATGCCAACACTTCGACCTATCATGTGTTGCATCGAAACTTAGGGTTAGGGATATGATTTCTAAGGATGTGAAGCTTTTTGATAACTCATAATTGGTAATGTAAATCCTTTTATGAGCAACTTTCCAGCAGGAAGAAAAAATAATATATGCACTATTTATAGTAGATTCAAGAGGGTATTAAACATGTATAATGTCATAAACCTCATTTTTAATGACATTAGCAAGCTTGGCTTTGCTTAGGGGGCTATGTGGGATTATTTTTATTTTATTTTATTATTTTTTTTTTTTCAAAAACATATTTGTTTCATGATTTAGATTTTTTTTTTTAAATAGTGAAAAAAATTTCAAGGCATTTCTTTAGTTATTTTTTTATTTAAAAATAAAAATCACCACCACCAACCATGCTAAAGATCGCATATAATAATTCAATAAAAATAAAAATAACACAATTTGAGTACACACACCAAACATGCTCTTATTCATATAGAAACATAAACACAAAAAAACACAATATATAAAAATCATCAAAAAATTGGAATTGATTCCAAAATACCTCTTACTTATATTATACAAAAGATAAGGCAGCAACCATATCACAGCTTCTCCTATCAACTGATTTGGTATTCACCACTGGCATGAACCTCCTTCACCTGCTTCTCATACTCATCTTCTTCCTCTGGGTTACCATCCTCGGCTTCGTCGTCTTCATCTTCTTCCTCAGCCCAACCAAACCCTGGCACAGGAGTGGAAGTGGGAAGAAGCCTTGCTTCCTTCACAATCTTCATAATGTCCTCAATGCTCTGGAGGGAGTAGATTGGCGCACTGTTATCCCTCTTGTAGTACGCTGCTTGCGCTGCTTCAGTCAGCTCCCTCGGCAAGTTCTTCAAGAACCATGGATGTTTTCTTATCTCGCTTATCGTTATTCTCTTCAAGGAAGAAGCCATTAAAAAAAAAAATTGGCAATCTATTTGATGAGGCAGATATGCGTAATTATCAGGATGAATGTGGTTGAAGCACGAAGAAGTAGGATAAACCAACTCATCACACTCGATAATTAAAAGGGTCGTTTGCATTTTGAATACCACCCAATTCATATGTTTTTACATATCTAATGCCTAAACTTTGCAAGAATATTATGTTCGGAGTCCGGATACAAGCGGCGTCTGGACAATAGCTGTGATCCATCATAGGTTGTTTTTTTTTTCTCCTCCATTTTTTCCAATAGATCGCAGCCGTTGTCCAAACATAATATTGTTTCCTAAACTTTGCTTTTTTTTATATTTATAATACTAAAGTTTTCGTATCACATCAACAATACTAGTATTTTAAATTTGGAACATTTACATGCATTTCAAACCACCCAATTCCTATGTATATAAATATCTAAAATCTAAAGTTTACTTTTTTTCATTTATACCAATCATATATTTCATATCACGTCAAAAATATCACTATTTTAAGTTTTAAAAAGTGAAATACACCTTTCATGCATTGGTAAGGTAGCATATACGTAAAAATTGAAGTTTCAAGTGTCAGATTTGCAAGTACACAGGAATTAAGTGGTACTTATGCAAATCTTCTTTTTGAAAATTGAAATACGTTTTTCTATGCACAGGTGAGGTGGTATATATATGTAACAAAAAATTGATGTTTGGATGTTAGATACCTAAATATATAAGAATTGGGTAGTACATATGTAAATCTACCTAATAAAAAAATAAAATAAAAATAAATAAATTAAAAAAAAAAAAAACTGGCATTAGTGGCAGGGCTGTAAACCAACTAATGTACTCGATAAACTGCTCAATACTCAAATTTATGTTTCTTTATTTATATAAATGAACAAAATTTAAAAAATCATTATATAAATGAACAAGAACAAGATGCATAAATTAAGTTTAAAAGAAATCTCTTGCAAGTTTTAATGATTTTTATACTGTAAAAGAACAAGGGCCTCATGATGAAGTGGTGATATCCACTAGAAATTGTGTTAATGAAGTAAAAAACTGTGAATCTTTGCTAAAAGGAAAATTTGCCTTCATACCATGAAATTTTTTTAAATTTACATATCTAAGAGCTAAATCTTCCTATTTACATTTATAGTGCTTCGGTGTGATAAACTAATGCATGAAAAGGCTCACTAAACTTTGTGAAAGTAGGTGATGGTGGTTATTTTTGAGTGCCATGCATGTAAATATTAAACTTTGGATGTTAGATATGTAAATACATAGGATTTGTGCTGTATGCATGTAAATACTATTTTGGAGATTTACCTTTAAAGGGCTGGCAACAAAAATGCGGGAGAGAAGATGCCTGCAGTCCTGAGATATATGAACATGGTCCGGAATCTTATACTTGACTGACATGATTCTCTGCATCCCAGCAAAAATCGAAGGCAGAAAATATTAGTTAAAGAGTGTTTTTTTAATAAGATTAATGGTCAGCACTTGGCAGGTAAATGAATCAAGGGGCCATTACAAATATACCACTCAAAATTTTCATATTTACATGCGTAACACTTTGATGCTTTAAGCCTATGCATGAAAAGGAAACTTAACTATTTTTTGCTATTTTGATGTGATTTTAAAAATTTGACGGTGTGAGATATGTAAATGCATAAGAATTGTCTGCCACCCATGTAAATTTCCCTTCAAAAAAATGGCCCGGGTGCTAGATCGGTAAATAGCAAAGTTTCAAGCGCTATGCATGTAATTATCCCATGAATCAAATGAGGCCAAAGTGGGACCCGCCCGACCTCACCTGTCGACGAGATGACTCACAAACGAGTGAGTCACAGGCCCGTAAATAGACACAGAAATAAAACGCAAATATAATGACACGAAATAATATGCAAAGTCTGGAGAGCTCACCCCAATGGTTTTTCTGAAGTTTCTGGGATCATCTTGTTCCTCAAAAGGGTAGGCACCCACCAGCATGACATACAAAGTTACACCACATGACCAGACATCTGCAAGCTGCAAGAACAAAAATTCAAGTAAACTTGTGAACATCACAATTGTATGGTGGGTAGATCATTTTATGCGTACCTCGGATTTCCAAAATTTAGGGTCTATTTGGGGTATTTAGCAATAATTTTTTTGACTAAAGTTTCCAAAATAGTCCTAAAACCATGACATGGGATTATTTTAGTTTTAGAACTATAGAAATGTCAAATTAGTTCCCATACTCTTTTAATATGGGACTATTTCAGCCCCCATTAGAAGAGTCGGGGACTAAACCGACACTTTCTCCTTCTTTTTATTAATTTTCAAAAACTTTTTGTGATGGATATATGCTCGAGTATTAAAGTTGTAAGAAACTTGTCATTCGTCGTTTTCAAAATATACACTATGGCTTCCAAAAGGGATCATAGGATGCTAAGTTACCGTGCACACTAGACAATTACAGTTGTAAGAAAAGTGTTATTCATCATTTTCAAAATACACACTATAGTTTTCAAAAGGGATCATAGGATGCTAAGTTAAACCGTTCACACAATTGTGTGGCTCATTCTATTTTTGTGAGGCTTCATTAGATTAGAAGGATAAGGTGGGTTAGATTTTATTGGCTTTTAGTGGCTAGTGGGGCCAAATAATTGACCCAAATGTATGAAAATCTTCATTTTAATTTGCTCACTTTAAAAATATTCCCAAAATAGCAATTTTTAATTATTTGAAGAGAGTATCATTTTTTTATTTAGATGACTGAGCAAACATTAAAATTAGCTAACTTTGATCATTTACTTGGCAAAAATGTTATTATTTTATGAGCAATTCACTAAGACTCATTTAATGATGATTTAGTCACATCACAAAAAAAATATAAATATGATAGAACTTTTACACAAAAAAAATATTTATTGATGGATTAAAAGATAATTATTATTACATTTTATATTTTTATTTTTAAACTAATATTTGATAAAGACCATCAAATAACCAGCCATATACATAGGGAAAAAAAACTAATTTAGTCATTAAAAAAATATTAGAAATTAATTACTATTAGTAAACTTATTTTTTTTAAAACATGTAACATCTCACATATAACTAAATGGACTTGATTATTATGAAAAATTAATAAATAAATTTAAAACATATTTTAAAGCCAAGTCATTCTCAAATTTGATCCAAGCCCAATGATAAAATATGATAATTAATTAAATAAAATAATAACTCACTTTAGAATTGGAGTTAGGCAGATAAGCATATGCTATAATTAAAACGAGTTAAAAGGGACATTAACAACAGGCCAAAAGTTAGCAGTTGGCCCCCTCCGACAGGTCAAATTCCACCGATTACTCCATTAGCATACAAAACAAAAATGAAATTTTCAGCATTTAATACCACAATTTGCAATAGTGCCACGCATCATCATCTTCACAGAGACGCATGGAAGGAGGAGGTGAAAACTGTGAATATAAAATTTGCAAAAAAAAACAAAAAAAAAGGGATTGCACCTTACCTTCCCGTCGTACTCCCGGCGGGAGAGAACCTCCGGCGCTATATACGCCGGCGTACCCACCGTCGACTTCGGCCTCGAATGCAGCAGCGACGACTGTTCAAACGAATTTCAGTATAATTTGACTTTAAAAAAGATTTCGGAGCGAAGATTACATCAAATCAGTGAAGATAGAGACCTTCGAGTAGCCGAAATCGCAGATTTTGAGCCGTGGAGCAGGGCTTCCGTCAAGAAGAGTGTTCTCGAGCTTTAGATCACGGTGACAGATTTGCTGAAGTAGAGAAAATCAGATCTAAATAATTTGATCATTCAAAAAATGAAGTAAAATAGTTGGATTTGCAATTACCATGAAATGGCAGTAGCTGACGCCAGATATGAGCTGCTGGAAGAAATACCTTGCCTGTGCATGGATTGAGAAAGTATATAAGAACAATGATTTTTAAGGCAGGTTTTGAGGGGAAGTCCGTACTTCGTCTTCACTGAATCTGCCGGCGTTGCAGATCTGCTCGAAGAGCTCGCCGCCGGCGGCATACTCCATAACAATCGCAAGATCAGTCGGGGTTAGCACAACCTACAAAAACCCAAAAACTAGTTAATTCAAAAAGAGCAGATGCTCTAATCTTAACGACTCCATAGATCGATCTCACCTCCTTGAATCGGATGATGTTAGGATGACGAAGAGAGCGGTGATTGATGATCTCCCTCGCCACATTCTCGTCGATCTAAAATTGCAAAAAGAAACCATAAGACATAAGATCGTCGCGTCGAAATTGATGATTAAATCTAGGGTTTTATAACCCAAACCTTCTTGCCTCTTGGAATATACTTCATCGCGACAAGCTCTTTGGTTTCCTTGTGCCGCATAAGCCTCGCCACCCCAAAGTTACCAGACCCGATGTCCTTCACCACCTCGTACTTCTCCATCCCGCTCATCTTTCCTCGTCGTCCTTCTCACTCTTTACAGCTAATTCGGAATTTTCGGATTTTCGGATTTCACTAATCAGCGTTCTAAGCTCCCAATCCACGCCATAGCTTTCAATAGCTCCTAATTTAGGAATCTAATCCGCGATGGAGGGAGGAGGAAGAAGAAGAATCAGGAAAAGGGCTTCGGGTTGGGAACCTTTTTAGCTTTTTAATGGCGAAACAGCAGTAAAGGAGAGTGGAGGCGGCGGCAAGCAGTCCAAAAGGTTAATTACATTTTTATTTGTTTATAAAACTATTATTTTTACGTAAATATTAAAATTCATATTAACATTCATAATATTTTTAAATAATATTATTGGATAAATAAATTTTTATTTTTATTTTTAATAATTCTAAAACATATTTTGGAAAAAACTTAATAAGTTTGAATTTATTTTTGAGGAAAAAAATTAATTAACATTGACTTTAAATTATTTTTTGGAATTATTTAATCATTTAATTAAAAAATTATGCTAAAAAACAAATGACCGTTTATTTTATACAGTAGAAGGTATTGGTTTCTAAGGCTGTCAAAACGGCTCGTTGTTCATGAATAATTTATGTTTGGTGTGTTGAGTAGCTCATGTTTGATTCGTTCGTTAAATAAACGAGTAGAACACAACCAAAATTTTATTCATTCATTCATGTTCTTTATGTTTGGTGTGTTGAGTAGCTCATGTTTGATTCATTCGTTAAATAAACGAGTAGAACACAAACAAAATTTTATTCATTCATTCATGTTCTATTTATATATATATATATATTATGGGTTCACATGCGGTGCACTAGCCAACAATGCAGCTTACCATTTGACATTATAATTCCTAAATTATTGCTTAATTACAGGTTCTTCGTTAATATAATCACGTGATTTTCTATTTTTTGGCATTTCTTATAGAAAGTCAAATACAGTTTTTTAATGCATATTTAAAAAATAAGTTGGAAGAGTTAAAAAATTCTTAGTCAAAGTTTTATATTAGTGGGAAGAAAGTTCTTTGTATTATCTTGTAATCAAAATTGATATTGATTAGAGCAACTCATGTAATATATATATA